TTAAGCCCGTTGCCCTCAAGTTAAATGCAACACCACCAATCTACACCAATTCAACAAATCTTCAACATTACCAATATACCAATAACCTCGACTCCAACTCCAACTCCAACTCCATTTCCAAATACGTACAGCAACTGTATAACTTCTACTGCTACTCGTTCCACGCCAGAGCGGAGCAACATAACAGCAACATTCGGCACTTCGGAATAGCACACAATTCCATTTCATACTTGCACCCTTGTGACAATCCCGAACAGCATCATTGCCACTGACAGACAAGAAATGCAAAAACAAATCTGCCATCTATCAGCAAGCTCCATACTGTTTTAGTGGGAATATCATCCAAGGAATCGCATATCTTCATCGAAATCAATTGGAATTGTGCACTAAAGTTTTAATGTTGCCATTTTCTCCTTTTCTGTTTTTTGTTTAATCTTTTTTCGGAAAGTTTTTCTCACATTGTTGGATTCATTCTGGGAGTTTTGTGTGCATTTGGTGTCGTTTTGGTGGAACGTTTGCGTTCAATTCATTCGTTGCGGTTTCAGCTTAACGTTGATTCTACGCAGTGAAAAAAAATATTCAAGTCCTTTTTAAACATGAAAATATTTAGCTTAATTCTCTGAATCGCTTTATAGTTATCTTTATTTGAATTAGTTAATTTTTATTGGGTTTGTATTGCATTTGATAATCACAACATTATTTGTTCATTGCCCCCAAGCACACAACTCAGTTTGGTTCAGATTAAAAAATGCACCTAAAATCGCATACAAATTGTATTGAGAGTTAAGGATTGTTTGAATGAACATAATTGGTATTTTAAATTCTTGATTATTGATTATAGAATAAAATAGAAAAAATAAACTTCAATTGCACATCTATTTACGATGCGTCCCCCAACAAAATTATTTGAATCGTATACCATGCTTTCCCAACCTGACCAACAATCTATATGAACAATCCTTTTTGAAATCAATTAACATATAATATATTTAACTTAATCCAAATTAATCCAAAACATGTTTTTTCTCATTTAAAACATAACAGAATGACTAGAACAGCTCTTAAGACCGTTGCTTCGCATAGTCTAGAATTAGCTATTAATATAGTTGATATTTCAATAAATGAAAATGATGTATTTTTTCATTATTATTATATTATATATAAATAAATTTATGTTTTTATGGTTTACGCTACTTAATTATTAGTTAGATTAGTTAGAGTGAAATAATAACTAAAATCATGCTTTGAATGTGTTGTTTTCTGGAAGTGGTAGTTAGCTCATGATTATGTTAGTAGTTAAGATCAGTTTTTTCGCCTCTAAAATAGCCCATCGTGTACTATGCAGCTATGCCGATACCTGTTCCGAAGCTATATAGTAGTAGGTTCAATAGGTTCAGGCTACATATATATATATATAGCCTTGAAATTTTTCTTTTAAATAGACAATAGTGTTAGAAAGTTTTTTCTGGCAATAAGTAACTCCAGCTTCACATGTCATCCTCCCAATATTTAGTAAAAACTCAATCGTACTAAAAAAAAAAATTATACCAGCCTCTTGTAGGCGTCGTCTTAAATGTGCAGTTCTTAAAATATAAATATCCAATACTATATAATACTATTTTTCAGTAAAAACTCATTTATACAAGAGCAAAAATAATAACTTCTTCTTAAAGACAATGGCCTTAACGTATTTATCACAATTTATGAGTCCCTACTATGTTAACTGATTGCAGAAGTAAAAAAAAGATTTTCATCAATGGATCATTACGAAAATTCCTTAAAAAGTGTGTTCCAGAACACACATTTTCTATAACTTATTCCAATTAAAGCTATATTATACGAATGGTGCACATAACATTTGCTTCCAGAAATGAAGTGGTTATTGAACTATCTACATAGACTAACGTCTTTTAATACTTCTACAAAATATGTTTTACCGGCGTTAAGTATTACGATTAGGACGACTACGCCGTAGTATCATTATTCAACACAATAATGTCATCGAACACTTGCTTGTTAATTTCACCGATTATATTACATATTTCACAGTCCTGTTTTGAAAGCAACTACTAACCGTTATTAGTACTCCTATGTTCGACCAGGCATGGTAAGATTAATTTTTGCTCGTGACACTGCTCTGGGAGCTATTGATGGTGACATTCCAATTTATTTTTATTTAAGACAATGTGCATTATTGAATTGGCCAAATAGAATCACATTGACTTTAAATTTCAGCAACGTTTAGTTAATTTATTGTATCTGGCAATAAAGGGTAAATAACCCTTTACCCATCGGGAAAAGGTAAATAATAATAAAATGTAGGAAGAGAAATTTGTTTTTAATTAATTGAAATACTATTCATCTTTAAGTTCAACAGTCTGTATATAGCTTCGGTTTGAAAGTGCTTGAATTAGTAGTCGGAACTGGTCGATAGGAAGTGATTAAAACACAGGCTCGAGTGCTTAACACACAAAGCAAGTCTTGGAAATATCGAGTCTTTTTTTTGTTAATTTTGTAAAGCAAAGCAAAAAAAACGCATTAATCACAGCTATATATATATACAATTAATTGTAATTTTTGTTGATATCGGTGCTTTGATGTTAATGTTATTATGAAAGTCAATTCAAATATGTTTTCTTTTTTTAATTAAAGAGGATATGGAAATAAAAATTCCATGTAGCCACTTGACGTACCTCTTCGTAAGCCTTTTTTTCTGAACATTTGTTCTGGTTATATACTAATAGATAAAAAATTCATAAATGTTGCTTATAGGTAGGTGTTTTCTTCATAATATCACATATATTAAAATATTCAACATTGCACTTCAAGCTCTGAGATGGAATCCTCAAGGCAGTCGTCGACCTGGAGCGCCGGCTAAAAGTTGGAGAAGAACAATTGAAGAAGAACTAAGAGAAGCGAACTACTCCTGGAGTGACATATGTCGTGAATCAAATAACCAAATACGATATAAAAAAGATGGTAGAGGCGCTATGCTCTACTGGGAAATAAGGATATGAGAGAGAGAGAGAGAGAGAGAGAGGGGGAGAGAGATCTCTCTCTTAGAAATATTTCTATACTTTTTTCATTAAGACTGAGGTACATTTTGTACAAATTAATACATTTAATATTTTTGAATACACATACCTAGATATTTTATATATGACTTTTGTTTGTATTATTCCTATTAAATTGAACTATTAAAAATAACTTAATTCAGAAGATGTAATAAATTTTAATTAAACTTATAAATTTAAAGCGTTGTTGATTTAAATTTAATGATGGAATTTTTTATGTACACATATTCAGAATTTCATTTAATAAATTTTTTTATATCACATATTTTAACAAATAATGTGTTGTAATTAATCGTTGAAAAAATAAACAATGCAAAAGGAAAACAGCAAAAGTTGTGTAAAAAACCCATTCAAACGCAATTAATAAAAGTGTTATTCACAAAAATAAATAAAAACAGAAATCAGCGTACGCCCACGAAGCGCAGGGCAGAGCTAAATGCGAAATAAAATGCCGCAGTAGCGTCCGTTTTTCATCTGGAAAGGGATATAGTTCTCAAAGGCAAAGTTCAATGTGTGATAAGCATTGATTGTGTTGTGTTTGCGACTTGCCGGACACGCTCATTTGATCATGAGTTATAGTAAAGTCAGCTATATTTAGAAATATTTACGTCTTCGCTATTTGCCCATATCGTTTATATTTCCAGATATCGGGGTCTAGAGTTGTAAACTTTTTATATTGAGTATATCAACAACAACCATATTGAGCACAAAATAAGAGGTAAATTCCCTACCTGAAACCTATATAGCTTAGTGAAAAAAGTTGGGCAGAAATAATCGCTATAATACTAATAATCTGTTTTCAAAATAGGCATACCTGGGAAATCAGAACCGTTTTTAAAGTGAAGTAAACATAATTTCTTTTGTACGAAAATTTATAACGTCTATTTGAGGCTGCTATGCCGAGAATTACCGACATTGACAACAGTTTTCTTTTGTTGTCTATAACTGAGCTAAAGTCCGAAAGGGAGAATTTCTACGCGCTACTTCGCTATAAAAGCTCTGCTCTGTTGGTTTTAAGTGCAATCAGTTTTTCGTTCTGAAGGTACTCGTCAAAATTGAAGGGGACTTCCACTATTTTATTTATATTAAAGTTTCATTCAACTTTGAAATGATGGGATGTTTGAGTTTTTGATTGATTTGTGAGACTTCAAACTGCATAGCAACAACAACATGTGCTTCTATACCAATGGAGTAAGTCAAGAAGAATTGAGAGAAGGAATATATAACAATTATCAAAGTCTGGAGAGCTTCTTTTATAGATAAAAATACTTATACCTCGATGTGACAGCAAAAAAAAAAGCGTAAAACCTTGCATTTAAATAAAATTAATTTTTATTTATAAATCACGTGATTTTTATTGTTTCATTAATGAGGCTTTTCTATAGCTTTGGACAAAAAAAAAATTTATTTGATATTAGACATAATAGTTACTATTACTTTCATTATTAACTACAAATAAAACATTCAATCGATTCAATAAAACCAACACGATTTAAAATCTGATTTAATCATATATTTTATTTTGTTTTTATTTTTTAATTAAATATTAAAAATCCAAATATTATTGAAACAATTTCTATTTTCGGGAAAATACATTATCGGCCCTTATATGTCCTCTTGTACTCTGTCTTACCTAATGAATGGAGTTTCGATATTATGGGGTCTCATTAATCCCTGAAATACTTTTAATCCTAAAACGTGATTTAAGACAATAATTATTTAAAAAATTTCTTCCATTTATATTGTCAACGGCTTAGTTTGTTTTTTGACTTCTTCGTGAAGGCTTTTTTATTCAATAAATAAATAATTGTTTTAGTCACATATATTTTTTTTAGATTAAAGCATGCTTGTTTTATATTTAAATGACAATTATGTGGATGAAATAGAAAAAATTTATAAATTATTTTCTTTCTTATTTTTTATCAACTGAGAGAAACTCAATTTACAGGGGAACTCGTTTAGGTAAGTACCACTTAAAGAAAAAGTTAATAATGATGTATTTATATGGATGTATGTATATATACTTTATTCCTATATATAATATAAAGTATATTTTTCTCTGATTAAAAAATTGTCGTTATTTATCGTGATACAAGGTATAAAGAAGATTTTTGTTATAAAAATATCAATATTTCTAACAACTCGGATAGATGTTATGCTATCTCAGCTGGTTTTGATGTTTTTTTAATTAGTTTTGTTCATGTTTTTATTTTTGTTATTTTTTTCTGTTGTTATGATATTTTGGGTTGGCTCTCTTTGTGCAGTATCTCTTAATTGCACGATCTCAGACTGCGTCTCTTGGAAGGTGGAAACCTTCCATATATTCATACTCTTCTATTTTCTTGGTAGCTTACCTTATCCTCTCTTTATCTTTTTCATCAGCAAACTTCTCCCACCATCACATTATATGGTTATACCAGCGAAGATAAGAATCTTCCAGATTTAAATCTATATGCCTCTTAGAATAGTTGCTACATGTGAGACTTGGGGCTTCAATTTGATTTTCTGCCTGCAATGAAAAATGAGAGATCCGTAAGTGCATTGAAAAAGCATATTTTTTGTATTAAATCTTGGACGTTCCATAACAATCCCTTAACTAATCAGAATTTTTATATTATTTTTACTGATAACAAGGGCAATAGATGCTATAGATGCTGCATTCTTACATTGTTTATAAGAGAAATATTTTCATACGGCAGTGCCCCAGTTGGGTGCACCTCTGGCTTTGATGCCCAACAAAAACAATAGACTTGGTGATGCCAATTAAATTCGTAACTTGTGCGTTATTAATACTTCGTTTCATATTTTAAAATAATTTTAATACGTTCTTTTTTCTGCACGAGCAAAATATATTGTTCGTACTGCTTTTTTTGCTGTAAATTTGCATAAAAAATGAACCTCAAACGCGCTGTCGGACGTGAAATCCTTTTCTCCTGTACTATTTTTTCACATTGTGTTTTATTTTGTGTTAATTAATTCGTCGATAAGTTATCATGTGACAATTTTGTTCGCGTTAGTACGTACTCGTACTTACACAGGCGAGTAGTGAGTCCTTCTATGTCCTCTGAGCACTCAGTGCGGTCGTGGGGCGTCAAGTTTCAGTGCATTTAGTCTGCTGACGAGGGAAGCAGTTTATTTCAAATATTTTTTAGGGCTATATAAACTGTATATAATTGGACTTATCCAAAATTAAAAAAAAACATGAAGCCATGATTAATTAATATTCCTAGCTAGCAGACTTAAAATGCTTAATCGGTTAATTTTATTGAAATGTGAAATGAAATCGTACTGAACTGATAATGGCATGGAAAATAATCGTAAAGATGGAAATAAGCGGTATAGTTCAAAAATGTAAACTTTTTGTGTTTTACATTTATTTAATAGAATTGTTTAAAATGTAATTCAAAAATAAAAATGTACGGTCAATAAGGTATGCGTCAGGATCATTAATTTTGCTTTTCACAAAATATATACTTAACACTTAATTCAATTATCGAGACCTCATCTAGAGTATTCTTCCATTTTTGGTTGCCTTTAGTGGTGTAGCCATGTTTGGCCAGACTTTTGAAGTGATTTTCTAGACATCGAAAACAGACTCCTGCTCATTTGTGCGCTTTGAAGCGGCTTGCTTTGTCGAATTATCTGCGAGTTCATTGCTATGAAAACCAATGTGCACGAGTTAGACATTCACTGTCTCCCAAACGAGTGTAGACATTGTCCAGGTCAAAGTATTAACGACTGCTTGAGGATGTGGCATAAGTGTTACGAGGGTCACTATTTATGTTTTGAGCCTTGGCAACATTGATTGTCGTCAGGTGTCATCTCTGACGTTTTCACACGAAAGTTTGACATTATTAAACCTCACCTATGTTAGACTTTTTGTGTTATTTACAGTGATTTGTAAATAGAGTGTTCTCGAAAAAGTAGAATTAACGCGGGAAAATTTTCGTGCGATGATTTATCACTTCTTTCGACGTGGATTAAAGTGCAGTGATCAACTTATTTCCACATTGGCGATGCAGTAAAATATCCATCCTTTGGCACTCTGAAATACTGGAACAATGCGACCTCAGTGAAATTCGTGAAGGTCCACCAAAATCAGTTGTCAAAAATCAGCACTTCCACTCGGGGCATATATTGCCCATTGAATTTATATATTGTTATATTACTTATTATTATATATTTATCACTATATTAAGATTATGAATTTCGACTGAATTTAACTATACGAAAAGGTTTCAAAGAATTTAGTTATCATTGACATTTTCAAATAAATTTGTTCGATAAATTAAATCAAATATACAAACAGAAATTTTTATTTTTGTCAGTTTGCGTTTACAGATTTTGTAGATAGGATCAATTGATTAGTATATTTTATAAAATCAATTGAAAGTACGATTTTCGATATTTTTCTATAATGGCTTTACCACTCAAACCACAAATTACTAAAATTTTGGAACAAGACGTTTGTAAGTTGACACATCTTTGTATGTGGAAAAAATTCGCATCTGGATCGACTGATAATAATATGATTGTAAGTAGAACCATACATAAGATTATTGCAAAATTTTATAATTATTTTTTCGAATAAATAATTAGAAAGGGTTAGTTTTGGGTGTATATACTGGCGAAGGTGAGCAGGAACCTAAGTTAAGTGTTACTGCCGAGAAGTTTAATGATCGGGTCAATGGTAAAATTGTACAGCTAGTGCGAGAGTAAGTAAAATATTGGCTATATAAAAAATTTTATACATATATATATATAAATATATATATAATGACACGTACCATTTCTGTATATTTGCAAAGATGGAACATAACGGGTGATGTAGGTAAAGGAAAAGTGTTTAATAATATAGATCCAGAATTTAGATCTATTGCAGTCGTTGGTGTAGGTGAACAAAACGTTGGCTTTAATGAAATGGAAATAATTGACGAGGGGATGGTGAGTAACAGTGATATCTTTAAAAATCGACACAAAAGTATTTTTTTATTGTAAAAAAAAAAATTTATCAATTTGACAATATTTTTTGACATAAATATCAATTTTCGAAGAAAAAGATTTTAATTTAGCTTGTAACTAATTCTTACGTACTAAAATTCATTTTATTAGCTCAGACAAATTAGCTCAGGAATTTTTTTAGAAATTAAAGTGAGTCCATCCAATATCTATCATTGTTTTTTACAAATTTTATTTTGGACAAAAATTTTTCTAGTACTTTGCAGTACAAAAAATCAGTCAAATATAGGCGTTTCAATTTCCCACGGTGCATTTCAGTGAATATAATTTTTCTTATATTGCACTTCAAAATTTCTTTATAAACTCGTACCTATTTGATAGCCTGATAGCCGGTTGTCTTTGGCTAAATAAAAAACAAAAACAGGGAAAGAAGAATGTGGGTTCGAGTGATGTTAAAATAATAATTGATGTTTTCTGGAACAACAATTTACATAAATTTCGACTTTGACACCACAATAAACGTAAGCCTAGCAAATGTAGATGTCAACTTGTACTACGAGGACAGCAAATTTTATAAGTATGGACATTAAAGTGTAGTACAAATAGTGCTCCGTAGTATCTGTAGTAAGAAAAATCCGTGTTTCTCTAGGCTATTATACACCATATAATAGTTTGTCATTATAAAACGTGGAGTAACTTGTTTGAAAAACTTTTTTAGGAAAACGTTCGTATAGCAGCTGGTGTAGGTGCACGTAGCTTACAATATCAAGGATGCTCTCATATATACATTGACGACCTTGAATATCCTGAACAAGCAGCGGAAGGGGCTTCATTGGCTATTTACCGCTATAATGAATATAAGTTGGAAAAACATCGCACACTTTCGCCACTTCTACACCTATACGACTCATCAGATGTCGATGCATGGACTCGTGGTTTATTTAAGGCAGAAGCACAGAACTTGGCTCGCCGCCTTACCGACACACCAGCAAATCGAATGACGCCAATGCACTTTGCACAGTCGGCTGTCGACGCCCTCTGCCCCTGCGGTGTGACAGTCGATGTGCAAAGCATGGAATGGATCGAGCTGCAGCGCCTTAACTCATTTTTAATGATAGCGAAGGGCTCCTGCGAACCACCAGTCTTGTTAGAAATCAATTATTGCGGCACATCACCAGAGGATAAGCCCATACTGTTGTTTGGTAAAGGCATTACATTTAATAGGTAATAGCATAATAAAGTGGTATTGTATTATTTTTATTCAAAATTTATGTATTCTGAACTTTAGTGGTGGTCTTTGCCTACGTAGTAGACGTGGTATGGCTGAGTACAGAGGTTCGATGGCCGGTGCAGCAGTTGTTGTAGCTACCATCCGAGCCGCAGCAGCCCTGTCTCTTCCCATCAACGTTACGGGTGTTATACCACTTTGTGAAAATACACCATCCGGTATGGCAGCCAAACCTGGTGATGTCGTCGCATTACTGAATAGGAAAACATTATCTATGCGCGTACGTAATATTTAAAAAGAACATATCTTAATTAAACTATTAAATAACTTAACTATGGTTGTAACAAATAGGATGCTGACAAGGCTGGTGTTGTTGTTATGGCGGATCCAATTCTTTACGCGCAGGCTGCTTATAAGCCACGTCTAGTTGTTGATATAGCCACTTTAAGTAAGGGAGTGGGGCAGGCTTTAGGTGGCTCAGCAACTGGGCTGTTCACTAATTCTAATTTCATCTGGAAGCAGTTCCAAAAAGCTGGAACTATAACAGGTGACAGAATGTGGCGTTTGCCGTTGTGGAACTATTTCAAGAAGCTTGTGACAAGTATATTTAAAAGGTTATATGATATTTATAGATCTCTACTAAAACGTATATTTTTCAGATAACAAGAGCTTCGATGTGAGCAACGATGGAACAGGCCCGGCTTCTGCCTGTCTTGCAGCTGCTATATTGCATGTAAGCGTTTTTTAATATTATTTTCATTCTTTCGCAAATTTTTTATTTATTATCTACTTTTATACCCCAAATATTTATACTATTGTGTTTATCGTTATATAGGAATTCGTGCCTTGTCTTGATTGGGTGCATCTTGACATACGTGGTGTGGGAATGCTCACAAAGTTTGGAACTATGCCCTACTTGTTGAAGGACAGAATGACTGGACGTCCCACTAGGACAGTTATACAATTTCTGTTTCAGATGGCCTGTCCTGATACAAAAAAGTGAAACCCTTTACAAGCAACCACACACAATTAATAAAAATTCTCCCTGTCGACACAACTGTTTTTAATGGAAAATCGTCGCAGGGCAGTAAACATCCGTATGATGTTTCAAACATGGGCAAAGAAACCTTCAAAACTTTCAAAAATCTTCAAATACGGACAAAAAAATTTTTCGTTATGAATCAAATTGTAAATATTCTAATTATAGAAATACTCTGTATGCATAATGTTTATTGGATCCTCTAAAGAATGTAGTCGACCTTCACAAAGATGAAGATGATTTTAGAAAAAAAATTTCCTGTTAATTTGGAGTAATTGAAAATAAAGTATACAGAGTTTATCGAAGCAAAATTAGGAAATGAGAAGGCCCTAAGAGCTTTTAGGAACTCCTTAATATATATTAAAAATGACGAGGACAAAAGAACAACATGGGCTAAACTTTTAAAAATTTTTGAATTGGAAATCATTTTATAATGATATATTATATATATATATACAGAATTATTTATTATGTGCTGAACTGGAAAACATATTTGATGTATACTTAAATTCGTCGTTACTAAGACGAGAAGCCAAACAAAATAAAAAACAGTGCATCAAATAAACAAACGGTTTTCAATTTTGGAGGAAATTTTTTTCGCCTTTGTCAAATTAGGTAATGACATTATTTGTCATGCATGTCCATAATAGAAAGACACTCATAGTGCAACTCATTGAAATTTTATGCAAAAAACAGTGGTGAAGTGTCTTACCTCATGGGTTTTTCGCAGTACTCTGTATTCGCATGCGAAACAAAATTAATGCTACTTCAAAGGTAAACATGGAGACTAACTGAGTAGTCCATACAACCTTATCAACAGAGTTAAGATAAGTTATATTTTCAGTGTACTAAATAATTAAGTTCTCATAATTTTATAGTGCAATAGATTATTTAGTTCAATATCGCTGAGGAACATAACCTGACTAATTTGATTAGGCAGTTCCGTTCAGTAGTTCATCTGAAATCAAAAAATTGGTGTCACATTTTATTAAAAATATATATTTTATATCATAATTATTTTTATTACTTTTCTTCATATTCTTGATTTACTTAATTTTCAAAATTATTGTATAAATATCTTACTAAAACTAAATGAACAAAATAATATATTAATTTCAAGAACTATCCAACTAAATGAGAACACCACTTATCTAAAGTTTATCTATTAATTTCTACTAAAATCAAATATATCTAATAAGTGCCAAGGTATTGCCCGGAATATTAAGATCATCTTAATATGAGGATGTGGAGTTACTTACAGCACAGACATGTTAAGGCACTAATATTGATTGTTCCAGAAATTAGCAGATAGAACTTCGGGCGATGTAGATTTATATGCATGTATTTTATTACTTCTATAATACTATTATTCGTTCATTCCAATCAGAACAGTTAGTTGCATTGTATTTTACTATCATCTCAATCATTATCCTTACCGTTGTCAGTTTCTCTACTGCCTTAAGAATCATTATAGCTTCAAACTATAATTTCCCTTATATTTCTTCCTGCTAAATATCAAATTGATGGACCTAAAATGTATTTACCATTCATCGAAGTAGGAGCAGATTTTTGTTAAGATTTCCTTTGTAATATAATTCGTTCTGATATCTTATGAATTGACTCAACATATATATACAATAATAATAGTTTATAAAATGGCATTATTTCTAATTTGTTTCATTACTAAGCAACACTGTTTTCGCCAACGAGAAGAGCTAGCGCAATGTTAAGGTAGAGTCTAGACTGTCATGGGCTCGTCATGAGCATAAGTGTTGCTGTTTTCAATGAAAACCTCGCTAGGTCACCAAAATTACATTAGAGAGGTAATAATAAATCATGAATTAAGAATCAGAAATTAAATATAATTCACTTAAAAATAATATAGAATGTTTTGCTTATTATAATTTTGCTAATCAAATAAATTTATTTATTTTTTACAAAATATTGCGCTTTAGTCACATCTCATGTTCTATAATATCAAATAGGTCTGGCAATGCTTAAGTACAACTATTACAATGAACAACTAAGCAAGGCATTATTAATTATATTTCAAGTATGCAACATCCATAAAAGTCAAATTTTTTTCATTTCAAATAGGAATAAAAAATCATCGGCCATAGGTTTTTTGGTACGGGAACTAAAAAAGTTTAAACTGCTAAAAGGTGGGTGTTATAAAATATTTATGTTAATGTATATGTTTTAATTTCTCTTTTCAACTCCTGTTATTTGAAGTACTTAATTAATAACGGGTAATAATCTTTTTCTTTTCATTTTAGGTGATTTGATCCACATATCTTACTTAGAAATATTCCACTATTCTGCAATGACTCACGTTATTCTCCTGGTTCAAAATACTAGCGATGAAAGTAGCCGCAGTTTTTCTGACTATGAAAGCATTAATGATTGTGTTGAAGATATATGCACTGTATATGCGAAACATCTTCATAAGTCTTCTCGAAAAAGGAAGACGCTAACATACGATATAAGGGCTCTTTTCAATTATATCGATAGCTTATTCGAAATGACTGCTCTCTTGAACCAGAAGACTAAAAACATCTATTCCTCACGTGATAAGAAATGGATTAAGGATAGGATTTATGTTTACATGCGTCACAAGGCAGAAAACAATGGTTCAATATGCTCAGCTTATTTTGAAATTAAATAGAGGCTGTGAAGTTATTGAACGTTGCGGAAACATATATTAAATAAGTTCGTTTCTCATAAAAAACTATAATCTGCTTATTATTTTAATATTTAATTATCATCGAATTATTTCATTATACCAAGTCTATAATTACGGAAGCGTAGTACTATCTTATCCTTTTTATGGTTTCAGAAAAATTTCGAGAAAAGTTTTTATAAACATGTTTTGAAATTTTGAACTGTTGTTAGGTGATCCATATTTTAAAGTGACGAAAGTCATAATGTCTTGAATGACAGCTATCTTTGACATATGTTACTGGTGAAATGGTTTCAATTTAGGACTACAAAACGTTTAAATGTTTTATAATTCAATTCGTAGGTAGCTTCAAGAATTTGTAAGTATTCAGTATAGTATAGTATAGTATAGTATTGTAAGTATAGTATTTTTTTTTTGTAGTTCCTTTAATTTTATTAAGGTCTTTATTAAGGCAGTATGTAGAATTTGATATACTATAAACTTCTAAGTAATGAAGTGTTTCAAATCGTAGCAGAAATTAGTGAACTCTGACGAATTAGTTTATTTCTATTCTAATTTCTAATATTTTTAAATTTTTTAAATTGTTCAATTTAACAAAAGTCTAACTTAATTTTCATTATATACATATTTCAAGAAGACTTACAAACTACTAAAATTATCTTGTAGAGTGATTGAGTTCTACTGAAAAATTACTCTTTACAAAAATTGTTGATGACTGTTGCAGATACTCGTAACAATACAATTTTGAGAAAATTTTTTAGCTGAACTACATTTCAATTTCACTGTCAAAATTTAACAAATTGTTAACTTTTTTAACTTCAAAACTTCAAACCACAGAAGGAGTCTAGCTAAAGTAATAGATAAAAGCATAAAATAAACGTTTTTTATATAGTATTTTTGAAAAGTAATTCACTACATTCGGTAGGAATGAACTATATAAATTTAATTATAAGGATATTTCTAGCACTTTAGAATTGGAATCCTACTTGCTCTTTCACCGAACTTATAATACCCGTATGTATATTGGGTAGTGTAAAAATGTTAACTCCAAAGTTACCTTTGAACGTCCTATTCTATACTAAGAAAAGCTTATTACTTTAATTGAAATTAAAATGTCTGTGGTGAATTTTACTTTTGTCCAAGTGAGTGGTTTAGGATTCATGCTATTTAAAGAATATTTAAATGACGGAGAGAACTCTTCTCTTAAGAAACCATTAAGAGTATGTTCCTACTGCCTTCGTTAAAGCAGTTTATTTAATACAGGTCGCTAATGAAGTTCATTAATCGTACAAAGATATTTTTAATTAAGGGAAATAACACCAGAAATTTCGAATGCAACATTGCAAAATTTATTTCCCAAAAGGAATTTTGATATATTTGACACCTGAAACAAAACATAAAAAAACCATAAACAAAGAAGAACTAAGAATTTTTAATTCTTTATTTTTTATAAATAAAATATTAATAATTGATATATAAAAATACATTGAACTGCAATTGAAATGTAAACAAACAAAAACTCTTCAAGAACTTTCATATACATAACTCAATTTATGCCTATGGGAACTACTAAATCTTTCAAAAATTTAAAAATAATGAAAGAGGGATCATAATAAAAAACATAAGCAAATATAGTATATGTGAGCAAAGTAATTATTGGAACTATTCTTTTATAACTTAACTCACTAATTGGTGAGCATTTTCTTAAGATTTTCTGCTTTTTTGTTTTAAGTACAATGTTTTTTATGGGTTAGGTCTAGACGAAGCTACTGCATGCTATCAAGAACACTTCATGTGTGCAACAGCCAACTAAGTAATAATACACTCTTAGTATATATTTCAAATCACCATGTGAACTCTTATGAGAGCTGAACACTGGTTCAGTAAATCCGAATACGTATTACTTAATATCTATTAAGAACAATTCAGCAATAGTGATAAATATAGTTAAGATTGTAGTACTCATATCCAATAAAGGATGTTTTAAAATAAAAAAAAATCATGTGAACTTTGGCAGTGTTGAAATAGAGTTCGTTGGGTGCAGTTGTCTGCTTCTAAGACCATATTGTAAGGAATATTAGAACTGGAACTAACATATTTGGATCAGTACATTATAATAACATTTTCACAATTACAATATTAAGTTTAAAAGATCTTTTTACTAAAAAGAGTAAAAGTCTATGGTGTTCATTTATTTATTTGAAAACTTGTCAATAATTTCAAGAAATGTGTTGGTTTGATCTACTAATAGTAGGAGTGCACGTCCTTCACGGATATCTATTATACTAGTAACTAATTTGATTTGAGAAATACTTAGTTAGTTCCTAGGCTACAGGAAACTTAACCAGTTCACTTTTCATCGTAAACTGTATGCTTTACGAGATGAGATGAACTGCACCTGGATTCCGTAGACGACAAGCTTTGAGAGTAGTATCGTTATTCAATATTGTTTAGTCTATACTCGTGTATATCGGATCAATATATCTTTGTTACAAAAACAATCATCTTACGATTAAAAAAGATCTACTTTTGCACTGGAGCCATTAAATAAGTCCCATTTTCTTTAATACGAAATAGAAAGTACTAATATTTCGCACAAGAAATGATCAAGGTCTGATGAAATGAATGACCTTACAATATGAAATCTTCCACTTTAATTGCATTTAAATTGCAATTCTCTATGAAATTACTTTTCTGAAGTACGCAGAGGACTGCTTATAGAATATTCCTTAAACATTTCATATTAATTTTTAAATCGCATACTCTTGGCAGGACTAAGGGAAAAAACAATGTATTTAAGGTAAACTAATTATCTTTTTAGAGTGTGAAATACAATTTTACAATTTTAAAACCACGGATGTTGAACAGCAACAACAAGAGAGGAAG